TCTTGGCCTTCAGGGGACACATCCTCTGAGCAGAAATTCTTGGCTTTACCACAAGTGGTATATCTAGATAAGTATATATCTAGGTTGTCATGTACAAATATGTACACAGAGCCTGGCGTGTGCATATATATCTGTGTTTACATGTGTTTCCATGGCTACTGAACAGAATGCTCCTTTGTGTCTGTGAGCAGAAAAGGGAAATGTAGTCATTGGAGCTGGAGTGGGAGCTTGTGGAATTCTGGAACATTTCTCACTACACAACCACAGCTTGTTGGAGCTAGGGAGAGCCTTGGACGTTTTCCAGTTCAGCCCTTTGTTTAACAAATAAGGAAACTGAGGCCTGAAAGAAGAGGAATACAGCCAAGCTTTAGATCATATCTAGTGTGTGTTATACACTTTACACACTTAATCCTCTCAACATTTCGAGGTAGGTAATACTAATACCAGAACCCCTTTTATAGATGAGAAAAACGAGGCCCATAGTATCAGAAGAAGAAAATGGCAGAGTAGGGATTTTAGTTTGCTCTACGTAATTCCAAAGCTTACAGTCATTTTACATAAGTAATATTCAAAGTGTGGTCTAGGGACTCTGTGAATATTTGAGAACCTTTCAGGGAATCCTTGAGGTCAAAACAATTTTCCTAGTAATATCAAGATACCGTTTGCCTTTTTCACTTTTCATGTGGTCACAGAAGTACCCTGGAATTTTCCAAAAGCCACATGGTATAGCTTCTATTAAGGCAGCCATTAAAAAGATGTGCAAAAAAGGTAAAGCAGTGATATATTTATCTCTTTTTTTTTGCTTTATAAAATACCTATTCATATTTAAAATGTGTTATTTTTAGTAACATAAAATGAGTTTATTATTGCTATTTTAAATTAACAAGTAATTTAAAATTGTCAGTAAATACCAATATGGATAGAATCCACATAATCAAAGCTCTTTGGGATCCTCAATGCTTTTTAAAAGTATAAAGGGGTCCTAAAGTCAAAAAGTTTGAGAACTGCTCCTCTACCATGCCACCTCTCAGAGGGAGGGAAGTGATTGTCCCAAGAGTTCATAGCTACAAGGCAAGGGAAGCCTGGAAGTCAGGTGTCTGGGCTCCTAGTCCAGTACTCTTTCTACATCAGGAGAGAACTTACAGAGAACTGAGATCCATGGGTTTAAGATGCTTCCCCAGCTTTCCCTAGCCTCTCCCTACAGGAGATTCTCTGATCTGAGCTTAAGTCCATCCTCTCTCAGCCAGGGATCCCCCTGCCCTTTGATGCCCACTTGACACTGCCCATCCAGCTGCTCATGCTGCCCTCCCTATGTCAGCTTGTGGGAAGGAAAGCAATGGGAGTGGGGAGGGTGACTGGGGCAGCTGGGTAACCACCCCCACTCGTCCCTGGCACGGCCCTGCCCAGTACACAAAGGGCAGAGTGAATCTGCCCTACTCTGCAGCTGAGGGGCTTGGAGAGAGGAAGAGGAGGGGCACACATAGAAGGGATGGTTACCATGAGACTCTGCATCACCAATTGTTAAACCCAGACAGACAAAAAGGGTCCATACTATTCTTAGCTAGTGAGAGGTGCCCTGGGGGATGAAATAGATGAAGACAATCATGATGATTGGACATTCACACTGTGTATCATTGGATCCTGTCAACAGTTTGGTGAGATGTCTAGAACAGGGAGCCCCCATTTCACAGATGAACATACTAGAGCCTAGAAAGGCAGAAAAACTCATTCAGGGTTCAGAGCTGGCCAGTGAAAATACTGAAGAAATGAACTGTTGACTGCTCACCAGAAGCCCCTTCATGTGTGTGACAGAGTTTTATTATTAAATACAATTAAATGTTGGCTGTGTACATGCTCCATGCCCTGAGGGCAAGACTGGTAGCCTCGCTGGGAAGACAAAGCAATAAAACACATGCTCACAGCTGACAAGAATAGTAGTGTAGTAAGTGGCCGGAGATTCTCACGGGAGAATTTCACTGTGGGGAGGGGAAGTCATGGAGAGATGGCATTAGCTCTTGGCCTTTTAGGATGGGTGGGATTCAGAGTGATGGAGAGATATTGGAGGTGGGCTTTCTGGGAGGGAGAATGGCCTAAATAAAGGCAAAGAAGTAAGAAGGCTGAAGCAGAGGGCTGGTGGTGGGGACAGTGGGCCATGTGGCCACAGAGGGAGATTGGAGCTTCAAGGTTGAAGGGCCAAGTATGCCAACTAAATTCATTCATTTCTTCCTTCTCCAAGGATCCCAAGACCTCCACCAGGTTGGCAGTAGGTAGCATGTGAACTTCCCTTATGAAACTTGAGGACTCCCTTTTCTGACCCACAAACAGACAAGAAAATGAGTAAAGAAGAAGAAAGAGAAGGAAAAGAAGAAACAGCTGATACCATAAGCTTGTGAGAACAGTATATAAACTAATGGCAGCCTTCCAGAGAGACTGAGGACCCAAAAGAGCAGTGGCTTCTTTCTAAGGAAGAGACTCCATTCCCAGGACCCACTAATGATGGCAAGCCGAAACACCCACTCAGATTAAGTCTAGTAACAAGCCCTCCTGAGATGCCCACAGGGACCCCAAGATGCCTGCAGTTTCTCCTGCTGATTCACTGCCCACCTGGCTTAGGCCCAGTACTTGTGGGTCAGCTGATCAATCCCAATGTTGCTAGGACAACGGGAAGCAGGAGTGGGGGCTCTGGGGAGTAGGCAGGGGTGGGCACTGCAGGCAGGCTGTCTCCAGCATCTGGCACCAGACACAGCTGAGGCCAAGTTGAGAGGAGGATGATTCTTCCTACTACCCCCTTCATGTCTGCACCCCTCCCCCTCTTCCACTCATCCTAGGACACTTTCCCTGCTAGTGGCTTAGGCAAATATTTAAAGGGGCAGTTGGAGAGTGAACAGGGTAGTGGAAGCAAATATTTCACTTCCCTCTGTCCATCCCCAAGCTTCTCAGGGGCTCTCAGCTTGGATGCCATGCTATTATGCAATCTCCAGAGTGAAGGCCCTCTAGCTGGAGAGAGTGTCCTTGTGGGGACAGGGAGCCTGCCAGAACTGGAGAATGGGTGGCCAGTTCATGATTGAAGGGCAGGGCCAAGATGTGAAGGACCCCTGAACAAAGGATAGGCACTGGGCTGAAATGGTGGAGTTAAAGTGTAGGAGGATAAGGGAATCAGGCCAAGAGAGAAGTGAAGTGTGGGGCTTTTACATATTTGTGACAGTTTAGAAGGGAAGGGACTTTATTTTTTTATTTTATTATTTATTTTTTCAGTTTTCACTTCCCTCCCCTCCCACCCCTTGGTAACCAACAAAGAAAGTTTCCTTCCATATGTAAACCTTTCCTTGATTTTTTGCAATAATGAACTAATACTGTATTTGTCCTTCTGTGATTGACTTATTTCACTCAGTGTAATGTCCTCCAATGGAGCTCTGGTAGCGTAGTGCCTAAGGCACTTGACTGCTAACCAAAAGGCTGGTGGTTCAAACCCACCAGCCACTCCTCAGAAGGAAGATGGGGCAATCTACTTCCGTAGTGATACTGCCTTGGAAACCCAAGGAGGGGTTGCTATGAGTCGGGTCCGACTCGACAGCACATAACAACAACAACAACAACAATGTCCTCCAAGTTAATCCATGTTATGTGGTGTTTTGCAAATTTTATATTATCCTTTAGTGCTGCATAGTATTCCATTGTGTGTATGTACTATTGTTTTCTTATCCATTCTGCTGTTGATGGACACCTAGTGAAAGGAAGCCCACGGAAAAGGCTGTAGCCAAACCAAAGTTGTTAGTGGATTTGATTTAGTACAAGAGGTAGGGAAAGGATAGAAGGAAGATGGAAAAGATCCAGAAAGGGGACCTTATTTGGGAGAGTGTCAGGCATTCTTAGGTCAAATTTAGGATCAAAAAAAAAAAAAAAGCCTGTTGCCATTAAGTCAGTTCTGACTCAGTGATTCCATGCACTACATAGTGGAACTGTGCTTCATAAGTTTTCCTTGGCTGTGATCTTTACAGAAACAGATCACCATGAGGCCTTTCTTCTGGAGAGCTGCTGGATGGGTTCGAATCACCAACCTTTAGGCTAATAGTTGAGTGCAAACCATTCGCATCATTCAGGGACCTAATTTAGGGTGGGGGAATATAAAAAGAGAAGTCCAGAGGAATAGGGGCATAGGTACCAGGGAGCAAGTGGGCTGGTTCGAGGACAAGAAGATTGAGACCCCATCAATCACCACATTTAGCCATATTCAAGGCTGTCCGGGTATAAGAAAGAAGTGCCACCAGAAGCCTTCAGCTTACATGAGGGAGTGGGGAAGCACATGAATAAGAGTTATCAGCAAATGGACGGAAATAGGAAAAGAATGACTGGAGGAAAGTCTGCAGTTAGGGGCTAGATTGTAGGAGGAGGTGAGGCAGATAAAGAGGACTTGAGGTGGAAATCTGATTTTCTCAGAGAGAAATGGACATTTTTGATTGCCCAAACTGATACCAAAGCGCCTTCTTTCTTCAGCAGTGTCCTCTCTGGATCTGCAGGCACTGACTCCTCCATTCTTTTCCTAAGCTAATCCCTATTTTTCAGAGACTTTCTGTTTGGGGAATGTGATGGATGGCCCACTGGGCCAGACCCTTTGTATCCTGAGTGGTCCAGCCTGGCAGGAGAACAGGAAGAGCCACAGGATTATGGGGACAGGTGTCACCAAGAAAGGCAAGTGTGCCAGGAAGACACCCACAGTGCAAAGTGCAGATTGCCTAAGGACAAGTTGGCTCAGCTCACCCAGGTTTGCTTTTGCTGGAGCCAAGAGGACTCATGTACCAGGGCTAAGGGCCCTTGGGCACTCTTGTAGCTGGCTTATCGGGGTCTTGGTTCTAGAGGGTCAGGAACAAACAGGCTTCAAAGCTGAGGGCTTGGCTGGCAATAATTAGCCCATTCCTTCCATTCTGCCCCCACTCCCCACTGGCACATATAAGATCCTGGACACACCTGGGAAACAAAGGAAGAAAGACACCTACAGCAAGATGGATGTCAGCAGCAAAGAGGTCTTGATGGAGAGCCCACCGGTGAGTGTGATTGTGTGTGTGTGTGTGTGGTGAGCCTTGCTTCCCACATACCTCTCTGTGCCTGTTCCTTATCCAGATTCATCCACTTAACTAACTTACCAACCAGTCAACCAGCCAATTGCCATTGAGTTGATTCTGGCTCATGACAACCCCATGTGTGTCAGAGTAAAAGGGTGCTCCAAAGGATTTCAAAGGCTGATTTTTCAGAAGTAAATCACTAAGCCTTTTTTCTGAGGTGTCTCTGAGTGGACTCAAACCTCCAACCTTTAATTATCATAAGTTAGAATGGAGACACCAAGACCATTAAGACAGAGTTCCTTGGAGAAATAGACATGGCTGAGAGCCACCATAGAGGTATATGGAGATCATGGAGAAAGAGTCATTTGGGAGACTCAAATGACATTTGAACTGGATCCAGAAGAATAAATAGGAGCTTACCAGGTAGAGAAGGAGGAAAGTATTCCAGGAAGAAGGAGTAGAATATGTAAGGGCACATGGAGAAGTGAGTGAACCTGGATCATTTGGGGAATAGAGAACAGCTGGGCATGGCTGGAGTACCATGGGTTTGCAGGAGATAAGACTGGTGAAACAGGCTCTCTTGAATCTCTTCAAACAGTCTTTGCTTCAAAGCATCTGTGGGTTTGTTGGAATCCTATGCATCTTCCAGACCAGCTCCAGTTCTACCTCTTCTAAGAGGCCTTCTCTGGCCATGTCAGCCCCCCTTTGCATGTCCATAGCATTAACTGTCCAGCCCTGGGAGATAGAAATGTGTCCAGCTTGTGCATGGAGAGGAGAGGGCATTCTCATGACCTCACTTCTGTCTCCCTGCTTGTCCCATCATGTCAGGACTACTCAGCAGCCCCCCGGGGCCGGATTAGCATCCCCTGCTGCCCTGTGAACCTCAAACGCCTTCTCATCATAGTTGTGGTCGTGGTCCTTGTCGTCGTGGTGATTGTAGGGGCCCTGCTCATGGGTCTTCACATGAGCCAGAAACATACTGAGATGGTGAGTCTGGGATAGGATAGCCAGTAGGTAGAGGGCCTGGGTGTGGTTGAGCACAAGAAACTGTTCAAGGGGAATGGAGAGAAGGAGAACAGCATGGGAAGGACAGAGGCAGGAACAGGGTGCAAACATGGCCTGGGCTTGTCTACCAGGCCCTTACCTCACAGTGTGACAGCCTGTTTCCTGTAGCATCCAGTTCCATTTCAGCCTCTCTGAGCTGGGGGGTGGGTGGGTCGGAATGCATTTGAATAAAGAGGACTGAGGACTGAGGGTGGGCATGGGTACTGATGGGGTAGGAAGTGAAAGAGGAACGCCAGGCAGCACTGTGTCCCACCCTCAGGTCCTAGAGATGAGCATGGGGGGACCAGAAGCCCAGCAACGTATGGCCCTCAGTGAGCATGCGGGCACCACTGCCACCTTCTCCATTGGCTCCACTGGCATCGTCGTATATGACTACCAGCGGGTGGGTATGCCTGGACCTCTTGCCCTGGGGCTGGGAGCCAATGACAAGACTTTGCCAGACCCACTCAGTTGTGCCACTTCATAACATCCAATCCTCCCATCCCCCAGCCTCTTTGTCTCCTGTTGGGGTGCCTGAGCCTCAGATTCTAATATGACTTCCATGCTCAACCTAGAGGGAGCTGGTTAAGATCAGGGTTGGGTGTCAGCAAGGCAGGAGCCTTCCTAAAAGGACTCTGGTTCCCGTGTCCAGTTCCTGATTGCTTACAAGTCAGCCCCTGGAACCTGTTGCTACATCATGAAGATGGCTCCCGAGGGCATCCCCAGCCTTGAGGCTCTCATCAGAAAATTCCAGGACTTCCAGGTAGGTGTGTAGGTGAAAAAGAATGAGACATCTTCCTCCCAGGGTTGCTGTGAGGACAACTTGAGATCATAGATATTGTCAACTGTAAAGCACTGCTCCTCAGGGGCTGTCAGGTGAGTGCCCCTCTCTATATTCACCTGCATCGCAACTTCTTTACCTGTTCCTGTTCACTCCATTACCAAGCTACTGGCCCCACACAAAACCTGGGTGCTTCTGACTCTAGCATAATCCCCTCTTTATTGGTGAAGAAACAGGCTCAGAGAGATTGCCTAACACACCTGAGGTCCTACAATAAGCTTAAGCCAAAACCAAACTTACTGCCATCAACTAGGTTCTGACTCACAGCTACCTCCACTGGGTTTCCAAGGCTGTAAGTCTTTACAGAAGTAGATTGTCCCATCATCCTTCCACAGAGCAGCTAGTGGGTTTGAACTGCTAGAAGGTTAGCAGCCAAATACCTTATCCACTGCACCACCAGAGGTAAGATAAAACTCAGTTTCCAGACTTCAAATTAGATGCTCTTTCCAGGCCAAGCCTGCAGTGCCTCCCACTAAGCTGGGCCAGGAAGAAAGGCGAGAAGCAGGCTCAGCATCCTCTGGAGACCTGGCTTTCCTGGGCACCACTGTGAGCATCCTATGTGGCGAGGTGCCCCTCTACTATATCTAGGACCCTCAGGTGAGCCAGGGCCAGGGTGTGGGAGCAGCCATGGTCCAGAGGGTTTGGGCCACCTGCAATGTCAGCTGACCAGGCACTGGACCAAACACCCTGTCACCTAAGGAGCTCAGGGGAGGGAAGGTTCAAAGACACTCTTCCCCACTTCCTCTCCCTCACATGATAAATAGTGTTCTTTTGCTTCACAGGATCTGTGGAAGCCCCAAGGGGACAGGAAAGACCCAGCAAGCAAAGGGTCTTTTGCAGACAGGCAGAAAGCTGTTCCTGCCCATACCATAGGGACTGGCCCTGGAGAAAGGGACCTTGGGAGTGAGGATGGGAGCTGGGAGAGGTGGCTCTCCTCGGCCAGGGTGTTTCTACCACAAAATAATAAAGCAGCCTTATAGAAAAACAAAGCGTTGTACTTCTTCTGACACTCCATCAGTCTTACTCTTGTTAAGGGCCAACTAGGAGAAGTGTAGCGCCTAGGGGAACCAGAGGGAATTTTCCCATTCTCCCTCTGTCCCAGAGTAATGGGGATTCAATCCACCACCGGAGGGGGGTGAGCGGACAGACGCACAGTGGGGAGGAAACCGGGGAGCAATTCACGGGCTTTAGGCGCCCTCCAGTGGTGTCTCCAGAGATTTAGGACGATAAACCGAGACAGTGAGAGATTGACAAATACAGAGACAGACATTGAAAATAGGAGAGATCGAGGGTCCGAATAAGGGAGAGAGAGAACGAGCTGCATGCTGAGTAACAAAGCAACATAGGGACAGAGACAGGCAGAGGCAGTTCAAGGGACCGAGCGCCTGACAGCGTGTCCTGCAGCCCGGAAGAGCGCTGCGGGGCCGGGACACCCGCGGTGGAAGTCGCCGCTAGAGGGCACTTTGCGGGAGCAGCCGCGGGGCTGGGGACACCCGGCCGCGAGCGCCCCCTCCCCAGGCACCCGGGCGGTCGGGAGTCGGCGGCCTAGGGGCCGAGGCGCGGGGCGCCCCCTCCCAGCGCTGGCCAGCTTTCTTCCTCCTCCGCCTCCGGCTGGCGCGGTTCCCGACCCAGCGGAGCACAGTCCCGGCCCCGAGGGGGCCGAGCTCCGAGCGAAAACACGCCCTCCAGCGAGCTCATTTCCCTAAAAAAGGGGGGGGGGGGAGAAGGAGGGAGGGAGTGAAGGAGAGAAAGAAAGAAAGAAAAAGAAGGGAAGTGAGAGGGAGACATCCCGAGGCCAAGGAAGAGGGAAGAGAAATCGGGAAAGAGGAGCGGGGAGGGAGACGGGAAGGCGGGAGGACGAGAGGAGAGAAGGGGAAGAGGTAGCGAAGGAGCGAGGGGGGAGAGAGGGAGGGAGGCAGCGAGCGAGAAAAGGGGAGCGCCCTCCTCTTCGCTTCCATTCCTCCGCTTCCCCTCTCGCTCGCTCCCGCGTTCG